CACACACACACACACACACACACACACACACACACACACACATATATATATATATATATATATAATATATATATATATGTATATATACGTGCACACTCATACACACTTACACACACACACATACATGGGTGTACTCGCGTGTTATAGATCTTTTCATTATGAATCAACCGTATCTGTGGGAGGATCGCAATATATAGGATCTTCCGACTCTTATTTTGTCGTATTTCCTTCATTTCACAGGTGGACGTTTTAAATTCAAATGACACACTTACCTCGGAACAAGCGGACTTCATTCTGTACAAGCTGAGGATATTCTGCTTGAAATGTATGTTTTACCGAGGATATCCAAATGATAAAGTTTATACTTGAAAGTATTGTTCTGTACATAATTTCACTGAGTCTTATGCTTAGAAATCGAAATCTGATATTTAAGTCAAAGAGGCATACAATAGTTCAATACGGCTTCGATACAACTAGTCATCCAAGCTTTTGAGTGTAGGTTCCGGTTTGACCTTCCTCTTCTTTGTGTAGTGAAACAAGGCACATGTGTGTGTGGGTTAGGGTTGTGTGACTCGACATCCGTGTGGTGCATTGCTGCCAGTACATGTATTACCCGATTTGTCGTATTCGTACTAAAAAATATTATGCATTGCGATACTCGATTATATCAGGTTGGCATATGTTTTGCATGAGGATTTATCAACTCATCGTATTTGAATGTACTGTCTCTATTATCTATTCCTCGTCTCACGACCTGATCCGTACTCTCACCTTCAGACGGTATGGGGCTTGTGAACACCTCCACAACGGCCAAGAACAACTGCGATCTACTACTCAGCTACACACTGCATCTGCTGTACAATCGGCAGTTCATGAGCACAGCGAACGTAATCGACAGAGGTGTGTGTATGTGTGTGAGACTTATAGTACGGATCAATGTTGCATACGCCAATGGTATATGCGGATGGGTTCATGATGTGCATGCTAGTTGTGGGCTTACACCCTATCGATTCGGAGCTTTGGGTTGCAATGACCTCCCACTTCCTGGTGCTTGCGTGACTCGTGACTCGTTGTTTGGTGAAAAGCAAACGCCGCACACTTGTGCTCTGTGTGGATATGCAAGAAAACGTAGAGACGTACATAAGTATATATATTTGCTTATGTACAGTCACCGTACATGTGATCAATTAGAGACGTACATATGTATATATATTTGCATGTGTGCAGTAACCGTATATGTGATCAATTAGAGACGTACATATGTATTTGTATTCGCATGTGTATGTACAGTAACCGTATATTGATCAAATAGAGACGTACAAATGTATATGTATATGCATGTGTACAGTAACCGTATATTGATCAAATAGAGACGTACATATTTATTTGTATATGCATGTGTACTGTAACCGTGCATGTGGTCAATTAGAGACGTACATATGTATTTGTATATGCATGTGTACGGTAACCGTACATGCGGTCAAAGTCAAAGTAGCTATTGTCATGGCGAAATTGATCGATTTTTGAGGTATAAACTAGTTAATTGGCCACAGAAACTGAAGTGTATGCACCTTGCACGGCTTAGGTATACTACCTTAACTAGCCGACCTTGTACGTGTATAACTGCGGTGTATGCCAAAACGTGCGCAACGCTTGCTGTTAGGGAATTGTCACGCGTACGTCACATTTCGTTACTAAATCATGAGAAGCTCACCCTGAATTATGAATGCACGCGTGATATCACAAGCTTATTGTCGCGGTTGTTAGCTTTGTTCTGTGATGTCAATTTGGCAGACTGTCTCTCTGCCCTGTGATTAGTTTTGAGTGTGGGCAGTCTCGATAGTGTGCATTAGCCCATATATTGAGTGCCGTATGTACCTATCTAATCACATACGTATGTACCAACTCGAAGTTCTGTTCCACGTGCATACATCGAGTGAACACTGCGGAGTGTTCGTCATACAGTCTCCCTGTCTTGTATGATAACACGCACATATTACAAATTAATCGCAAGGACTTGTACCAGGCTGCTTTAGTACGAGTATCTCGCTTGTGGTTTGCGTACGCTGCAATAAATGTTCGATTAATCGGCCTTGTATTGGGTCCATTGCAGGTAACATTTTTGTACCAAGGGGCTGGGACACTTATCCAAAGATTGATGTGCTGGCTGGGAATATAAAGTCAATGAACCCCGAGGAATCATTTGAAGATGTCATCAAGGAACCCACACTGCCAAACCGTACCTCTCCATTGCCTTTCCGTGCGATAGCCGATAGTGGGTATGTGCATCTTTTATGTATGACCGTCCTTTAATGTATAGTATAGGGGATACAGACGCATACCTGCGTACTCACAAATCATACAAGTTCAACAAATTACTGATATCGTCTTAAGACAGACACTGGCCCTTTGATCTGCTCGCATTTCAATTTGTATCCCTCGTCCTTTCGGTCTAAGTATGCCGTCCGAAAGCACAGTTGCGAATGCTACAAGTCAATAGTATTGAACATGTGACGCGGTTACAGCCCAGAATAAGTTCACAAGAAGCTTATTCACGTGTACATCTGGAACAGTATATGTATACCTCAGTCGATACAAGAAATAATGCTCCCATACACCTTACAGCGATAACAGGAAAACGCCAGCCGAATTGGAACAGAGTTTCCTATCACGCATCCGGAAAGGACTGGAGGCGGCCGCCGAAGCGAACAAATCGTCCAGTACCACCACAGGCGCACAAGCCTTACAGTCATCCCATGAAAGGGACAATGCAGCAGAGCGAGATGGGGCAAGACGGGTGTCTTCTAATTCCACTGCAAGTGGTGCAGCGACAGCGGAGAAGAACAAGGATCCGGCGGCGTTCTTTGCGACGCTGATGAAACAACCCCTGGCGAGAAGTGCGACGCCTAAACACTAGTTATCGGGATGGTATTTAGCTGCAAGTGATTGAGGTGTATATTGGGAAATAAAATATCTACTAGAGCCTCTTTAGGTTGTTTTTATTATTAGTAGTAAAATCTGTCGGGGGTTAGCAAGTGCTTTTGTAACTAGTTCTAGATGAATAGCGAAAAATCGTCACATATTCGATCTTCTTTCTCGAGAATCCCTCGGTGTCTATTGCCAATTTTTGCGGCCCTGAACTTTTGATTGTGTACATAAGATTCAATATACATTTAACCTCAGATGAGCAACAACAACACCGGGTAGCATAACCGACTCCTTCGTGATCCATAAGATTTCGCGTGTCTTTTTATTGAAAATGCGTTCGTTGCATACCGACCAGGAAATTATGCTTCAAAGAATACTCGTTTAATTCGGTGCATTGATACACTTTAACGTAAATAGTTGCCTTAGTAAACATTGTTCTTTTCAGCGAAAAAGACAGTTACATCAAAGCTCTACATGATTTCAAATAAATTCTACCCTGGATCGCTTGCTACAAATATATGAATGCTAAATTTTTTCAACATTGGCAAAAAATTAGTGTGAAGACCATTAATGATATGTATACAATAGCTTACATTTTGTATATAAAACAATATATATATATATATATATAATATATATATAAATAAG